GGGCAAAAAATGATGAATGAGTGATTCACATTGGACTCAAACAAACAACATAGAGAATATTGATTGAATTGGATTGTGGATGTTGATGCAAGAAGCGAACGATCGGTTATTGACGAATCCAACATTCCTTGCAAATCACCACCTTTTGGCTTGAACATTTCGTTCATACCCATCTAAATGAAAGCAATGTTTTAACTTTGATTTATTCGCACCTTCTATTTTTGAAAAGAGTTGAAACATACCTATTTCAAAATCGGATCAAGCTGAATTTCATACTCCAACGTAAACCGTGGAAGTTTAACATGAACAAGCTCTTTCTTCATTCCATTGGTGACTTCTGACAAGTCGTAGCCCATCAATTTAGATTTCAACTCGCGTAAGCCCACACGAGAGTTTGGAAGAACAACTACGAATGACAAATCGGTTTCCCAGTATTTTATTTCGAGTGCGATAGCGCCCAAACTATCCAGCTTCGCATATTTGAATTCTGATGTATGGATCATGTATTTAACTTGAACGATTTCATTTTCTTTCGTGTGAAAATCACCCACTTCAGTCGATTCCACAGCGAACTGATAATTCCATGTGTCAAAGAAGCATACACCATTTACAAATACAACCCTATCCAAGGCTCCAGAAATGTCTGATTTAATCGCAATCGGAACTTGGCTGTTCTGACCTCTTGTTGGTTACCAAAATCGACTACCACAAAGCTTGTGCCAAATTTCTCCGTCGCAATTTTGCAAAAATCCGAGTTCAAAGTCATTCCAATCGGTACGCAAATTTGGTTCACGATCGAAAATTCTGCGCGCAATTTTTCCTTTCCAATAGATCTTTCGACTCTCTCAATGAATTCGGCCAACTGACGCTGAATTTGTGCCTTGTTAGCATCCATATTGCGTACGCCAAGTACTCTCATCACTTCGTCCAACGTATTCCCTTTTGCCACTTGTGCGATCAAAATAAGCACATTTGCAATACTTAGCGGGCTTATTACGCATCAACATTGATTCACAAGGCCGTTCTGCGGAATACCTTAGAAGGTTCCGCCCGTGGCACCCATCCACGTAAGTTTATAAACGTTTGTAAAATCAGATCTTGACATACATACGTTTATCATTTGCTTATTCAACTATTATTTCGTTTCTAGGTTGTATGGAGTTTCGAACGACTGACGAACCTATCAAATTTCATATTGACCACCCGTTCTTCTTCTTCATTCATAGCAAATCCACATCAATACCCGTATTCTACGGAACTGTTTACATGCCCGAGCCAGCAAATGTCCATGATTCGAATTGAATATTGAAAATGAAATGAAATGAAACAAAAGATTTTTTTCTAATTACAATAAAATTCAGTACAACAACTTTTTTCTCTTTTCATCAATGCCACATGAGAAGTGTTACTTGTGTCAGTTGTTTTTTTCGTTTTTGGTCAAGTCATAACGCTGGTCATTGACTTTTGTTTGGAATAATTTACAAATGTTCATACACACTTGTCAGTGGAAATGGAAGAGATTGTTACTGGTGTTCGGCAAGAAAAGAAATGGAAAACAAAAGAAGAATTCGGAAAAGAGTAGAACGAGACTAAATTCCCCCTTAAAATGATGTCATTTTAATATTTGGTTAAAATTCGC